TCGCCTCATGCAATATCTGTATGTATAAGTTATCGAATGAATAGAAATAGTATAACAAATTAGTTCTGTGCGATAAATCAACGGGCCAGAAGACAAATGAAATCAATGCATGCGGTCCACTCTCCTTTGCATGTAGGTGCATGCGGTCAGGTTTGTGTTGAGGAAGTACTTCAATTCCATTATTATTATTATTCTATCATTATTATTTATTACTATTATTTTTTATTATTCTATTATTCTACTCTATTCTTCTATTTAGGTATGAGTCGTCCTGAGTAAAACTTTACTTCAGAATCGAAGTTTTACCATTCTGCAATGATATTATTACGCAATTTAAAAAGATGGATGTGATGAGACGATACCATCCTGCCAAAATCATTCTGGTCACTTTTGAGTATGTCGTGAAAAGCTGAAACTCCTGAGGAAGACCTGACTCGACACGAAGGCGAAACTACCACGTCGAGACGAATAACAAGCGTAGACGATCGACTCGGATCATCGGCTCTGAGGAAGATGAAGACGTCGAAGCGTAAGCCGAAAATAAATATATTTATCAACCTCGCGTAAGCTTATCAAGAAAGAATACATATTGATTAGCCACACCGAGGTTCAAAGGAAGTCGGTTTCGAAATATTAGTAAGCTTTGTGCTAGCTGAAAATAACACCAACTTCTGCAGGTTTGATTGTCCGGAAAAACAAGTTACTATCACACTATCACCGGACAATCACAGCTATCGACCATCAGCAAGCTGTATAAAGGGGCATCACCGAGTGCGAGGAGAGGGCTCGCCGAGGAAGACCTGACTCGACACGAAGTCGAAGCTGCCACGTCGAGACGAGTAACAAGCGTGGACCATCGACTCGGATCATCGGCTCTGAGGAAGACGAAGACGTCGAAACGTTAGCCGAAAATAAATATCATAATCAACCTCGTGTAAGCTCATCAAAGAAAGAATACATATAAAAAATGCTGTCGATGTACCTATATAGAACGCAGCCTACAGGAAGCGTTTTTTTTTTGGTTGGATAGTCAACATAGTGAAGGCCTTAGTTCCAGAGTTGAGAATTAGAAGGAAGTGAACGGTCCATGTGGTCTAGAATAGCGTCAAAATTGTAGTGAAGAAGACAAGGAGCGATAGCTCCGTACTCAGCTTCATAGGTGTTCCTGTCTCAAGTTTAACTTCCGTAATCATGGGCCTTGGACGTAAACATTGTGGAAATAAGGTTAGTATTTCCCTCTTAAGGTGATGGTTTTGGAAGAGTCTCATTCGAAGTTATACTAAAGTACAATTTGAATGATCGAATTAGGAGTCAAAACTACGAACGCGCACGTAATTTCTCATTGAAAAATCCTGCGATCTTTACCGTCTGGTTCCGTCGATAAAGAACTACGCAGAGCAAGCTACTTCACCACTGCGCCTATTTTCGGTGCTTTCGTTACAAAATTATGCTTAATTTCTCGCCGTACCTGTGTTAGGATCCACTAAAAATAACTACGTCCTTTTTTGCTTTTTTCACTCTACAATTTGGTTCCTCTGTATATTTATTCACTCATTTTTTGCTTATTGATGCAACGAATGTTAAAACAACAGTGACGAAACGACCCATGAGTCGTCTAGCAAACTGGCCTGCATGAGTTACTTGTGGCTCACAATTTTGAGCGGTTTATTTTGCCACAATGCGTTTTGCCACACTTTTTGTAATCGTTTGATTGTTCATTCAGTAGAAAAGTGTAGCGCTCGTGGACCAGGAAAGCTCTTTTTTACACTTCAAATTAAAAAAAAAGCTTTTTTGTACAGTTTATTCGTCTGATTTGAATCCAGCGGCGAGTACTAGCATGTAGTGCCAACCAATTATCAGAAATGTGACTAGTTCCGTGGAATGTAGTAGTTCGAGTCAACTGTCAATACGAGTTAATCACCAGTTCGATACAGAATACTCGATTTCGTAGAAATCTCCCATGCGGGTCTTCTTGATGTTGCCACAGAGCAAATCCCAAGCCCAAACTTAGGTAGCTGAGCTATTCATGACAATAATAATGCAATGATATTATGATGATATCAAGAAGTGCAAACAATATAAGCGTCAAGACGACAATGGAGTAAACAAGCAGAAATAAACTAATGAGCAAAAAGTTACACTCAAGATACGAGGGTAGCTTCTGCTCTGCAATACACTAGTGATGTAATATGAGAAAGAAGTTCCACATAGAATATAATTTGACCAAGAAAAGTAAGGAGCAAGTGGCAAGGCGGGATGAAATGAGTGCAATGGATGGGTAGCAAGGGTAGCTTATATAGTAAACTGGCGAAGTGATATTAAAAACAACTGTACCAAAGAATGAAGAATAACCGAGACATCGGCGACTGGAGCGGAAAAACGTAACATACAACTGAGATTAAAGTTGCCTTATTATTTAAGTACTTATTCGAAAACCTCTCAGTGACGTTGAAGACGTACTACAAAACATTTGTTTAACAGTCTACAATGTACAGAACTCGTCTATGCGGCTTCTAGTCCACGAGTCAGTTTGGCGAAAAGATAAATCAAGTGATTAGAAAGTACATTCGAAGCGGTGAGGTTCACCTTTAATAAACACGTTCCTCGTCTACTCTGGAACAGACTGGCAGGCCTCCCGTGAGTGTGTGCGTTTCTAATATTCAGAGCTCAGAACGTTATTCGTGACTATCAAAGGCTAAACAGCAAGCTAAATGGGTCTCTTTCCTTTTTTCTTTTTTGATTTTTCGAAAGCGAATGCTTTTCCCAGCCTCTGCGGCTTCCACCATTACTGCTGTTCAAATTGCAAATATATAGCACACAAAAAAACAAATTTGTTAGACCAAAAGTGTAAAGAAAAGAAGATGGAATCATTTGTTGGGGAGCAGTTTGTCCGACATGAATCACACCTAACTCATTGCGTCAGCGTTCCACGCGTGCGCCTTCGAAACTAGGCATTGTCGCCGATATGTTAGGTATACTTCGGCGGTATTTTAAAGTGCTTACATCCCTTCACTTTAAACAATATCGTTGGAGGTGATTGAATGCACATCTGGCCTTTATAATGACTCGCGGTGGCTTATCAATGAATCGACCAGTGCTGCTATCCTCCCAAACAAGTCTGGTACCAATTCCATCAAGCTGACTGAAAGGAAGAAATCTCTGTAGCATTTTGCGACCTCTATATCTTGGCAGTAAACCTGGTTCGGATCTGTATTTTTTGCTTGGTAACATAGATTGAACACGTTTTTATGACACATGATTGATATCTGGGATAGCCACTTGGTTTTTTTTTTTGCTGAACTCATGAAGATTTGATGAATCATGAACAGCATGAATGATACCAATGTCTAAGTGTACTCGAGTAATCTTCAAATTGACAGTTTATCTACTCTATCAACTAAATGCGTCCTGGAAGAGACCAAAGTTGGAGATGTTGTGTTGGTTGTTGTAAGCATTAAAGCATAAAAAGGATAAAGCTCTCGGCGTTGATCAATCCATGAAGGATGCGCCATGCATTCGACTTCATTAGGTATCGTTGGAGGTGATTGAATGCACATCTGGCCTTTATAATGACTCGCGGTGGCTTATCAATGAATCGACCAGTGCTGCTATCCTCCCAAACAAGTCTGGTACCAATTTGCCTTGACCGCAGAGATGGGGAGCTTGGACCCAGCGCTGCTGCCCTCCCAGATAGGTCTGGTACCAGTTTGCCGACCCCGGAGGGATGGAAGGCTTAGTGGGCCATAGGCGCGGGGATCGATTCCACGTGTATGTCACAGTGGCGCCTCCAGCCACATGCGCCCCTTCCAAGCAATAGCACTCGGAAAATATTAAATGTGAAAATAGCATGCGAAATGGAGAATATGTAAATCCAATATGAACTACAAACCTTGTAACCTGTAACGCAATCATTTTTTGTTCACTGCCCATTCTTTTTTCATGGCAGAACTGCTGTGAAATATAACTATAATGATGCTGAGATATTTTCAAAACTCCGGTGTCTGCGGTGGAAATCGAGCCCGTTACTACCCTTTCCGGGGAGTAACGTGTTCACCACCACACCATGCGTGTCCTTCGTTCCACCTTCCTATCAGCCCTGTTTTATAGGTGCTTTAGCAATTTGCTGTCTAGTCCTTCGTTGTGGCAGGGTTTGCTGTGAAATATAACTACACCAGGAAAGCGTGAGTCTAGCGGGCTCGATCTCCACCTCAGACACCTGTAGCCCAGAGCTTTGCAAAAAACCTAGCATCATTGTAGTAACCTGCACATAGTTTGATACTTGAATGGCCCGGCCTCTCTGGTTGTGCGGGCCCCAGCATAAACACCATTTTTCGAAGATTTGCAGATTAAGGCATCGTGGTTCCCTGGAATTCCGAGGTGCAAATATCTCAGCATTTCATAAAAAAAATATAGTTAGGCAAGTTTGTACGACAAAAGCACCAACCATAAAGAAAACGCATCTAGAATTAATAAACGTGCACAGCTGCGAACGGGTTGAAAACACATGTAGTCCCCGTCCTGTGCCAGTTGTTCTTAGTGGGTTCTGCTTGCCCAAGTGGAATGAAGAGCGTCTTGTTTATCGCCCAGGGATTAATTTTTATGCTTCAAGTCCTCTGAAGCCATTCATCGATGGCGCAAGTAATACGTAAGGTGCTATATGTCTTCAAACCAACTACTCCGTTCAACGTCGATTGTAATCTATAGAATGGGAAAATTATGAATGTTTAATTGCTTAGGGCTCACGGAGGTTAAGCACTGAATACGGATTAAATACGGGAACGGAAAGAATATACTGTATTGACCAATTCTTTACGACCGCTTTCATCACAGTGAAACCGAACACCTTAGACACCTATTCAAGCCAGTAGGAATAGAACATAATGGCATTATGTATTATCCCAATACCTCGCCGAGTTTCATGATCGCGTGAATATCACCCATTTCACTGGATCTTTCCAGAAGAATCGGCAGCTTCTAGGAACCGACATTTTCGGTGACAATCAAACCCTCGGCTCTCCTAGTACTTTAACCATCTTAGATAAGTCCATTGCGATCCTCACAAACTTTGCCCTGATCTGCGAAAAGAAAACAAGAGATGGCGCTGTCCTGAGTTGAAATTTGAGACGAGATCCGCAGCGCAAAGCGTTCAACTGTTCACCACATTGCGGATCTCGATGCAGCACACTCGGCAGACAAATCTCATCATTGCAGTACTTTAGTGTAATAGAGAACAGCACCAAATTACGGATGCGCTCATGGCGCCGATCTTGGTTCGGTTGCGGCGGCGTCTTCAGCAATCGGACGAACACCGCACGCGGACAACTCGTCTGCATGGCGCATGTGATCACGGCCAGTGCGCTTGCACACATCAACGCAGGACCGCATGCATCTCTCCTATAGTATTCCCAGTTGAAGTTCTGTCGAGTACTCATAGTTTCGGTGACTTTGGATGTTTGTACTCGTGAGTAGATCGTTTGCGGAGTTTGTCGCAGTGAATGTTTTCAGAGATTTTGAAACCGACCGTCATTCAACCTCAATAATAAAATAATCTACATGTGTTTATAGTAAGCTCCATGCCGAAACTTTATATTAAGCTTCTAAGCTCAGCAGTGTAAAACGCGTTTTCAGGGAGACTAATAAGCTCTCAATGCTTTGACAGTACCTTTGCAATATGTTCATGATTTTTCCTTTTGCTCCAGATACTTTGGTAGGATAAGCAATCCTTGAGTATTATCCTGTGAATGAGAGTTCTTGGATAAATGCAGAAATTGGGTTTGTGTTTGTGAACGGATTCATGAACTCATTTTCTGGAACTTTACTTCTCATTGTTACTAAGTTTGTGCAAAGGGATTGAGTGATTTTAAGGTTCATCTTTGAAAGCGCTCTAACTTAGCTCTAACACGGCTTTTTTATTCCATATAACGTTCGTTAGGACCAAAACATCTTTGTCGGTACGGCAAAAAGTTTCTTTCTTCAGATAGCTCAGGATTCGGATATTTCAGGAGCGGCGGTTATTTCAAGTCATTTTGCACGGCGGTTTGGTTTACCGAAGATTTGGTCAGCTCGTATTTCGCAGGGCAATTGGAGCTACTAGTAGTTCGATAACTGTATTGGGTGAGGAGAAGTGCCATTGCTTATCAGTATACTCTTCCAGGCTCTGAAGAAGGCGATACTGCCGAAAAGCGTGCTTTAACGGAATAAAGAACAAAGTAAGACTTCGTGCTTGCTTAACAAGAATATCGAGAAATATTTGACTAGTGCCGAGGTTAGCGGAAAGTCGGTCTTGGGATTTACTACAAGAGGTGCCATACTTCAACCCGTCCAGTCGTCTGACTTCAACCTCTCAGGTGAACGTCATCCATCGTACGGGATCACTTTCTCATCGCCTATCATAATGCGATCCAGAAACAGGTCATTTTTTGCATGAAAGAAGCACGGAACAACAGATTTCGTGATGGTGACCTAACGGCCAGTCGTGCAATTCGTAGGCAACCATTCGTCGAGCTTTTTCGCTATGCAGTACCTCCCAAATGAAGAACGCTTGTTGAATTCTGAATGCTAGCTTCTTCCGGTGTCCCTCAAGTAGTTTTTGGAAAGGCGGGTTCAGTTGTCCGGATTCGGGTGGTCGCCGCCAGACGCCTACAGCGTGAAGGCTCATTTCTCCGTTAGGAAGCTTCTCGAACCATTTGCGAATTAGGCGTTTAAGACCTTATTCCTGGCCTATGTTGTGACGATATCTCGAGTTTCTATCTTTGCTTTATGTCTAGGTTAAAAATCATAGCTCTAAATTACTCCATGATTCTCGGAAGCGTCATTTCAGACTATTCACTTAGTTGAAGGACGTGCATGGTGCTGTGCTGAGCGCACAAGTCCCAGAAAAGGGTAATAGCGTGTTTGATCCTCACCGCAGACACTTATCCTCCGTAGTTCATGGTAAATTGTCTAGAAGGAGATATGCTATGCTTTAAAATGTTTCACTGCAGAAATGCCAGCAATCAATATTTATTAAAAAATTGATTTGTAAAGTGCATAATGGCGATTGTTTGTTGGAAAACGTTCTACAGTGGCCTGCCCAGCCATAGCCTTCCTTTACAGATTCATAGGTTTGCGTTCTTCAGTTGTCGCATTTGTTTCTTCGAGAAACGATCAGTGTGTAAATGTCTTTCCTATGAACCACTATTACACAATTTTATATCAACTACATTTCCTGACGTGCTCTTTTACTACTTCCAGTTTGTTTCTCGAATCCAATGGCGCGCAGTCGCAGCAAAAGTCGAGGTGAGCTTTGATGTCTCTTGGGCTATCCATGTTTGGACGTATTTCAATCCGTTGATTTAGTGTTCACATCTAGAGCGTCGTCGCCGTTCACGTTCTCGTTCTGGGGAGCGGAAGGCTCGTGACCGCAGCCGGGAACGGGACAGGGATCGCGAGGACCGTGGAACGACGAAAAGGCGATACAGCAGAGAACGCCGAAGCAGGAGCAGGTAATTCACCTTCGAAATATTTGTATATACGTGTACACACATATATGTGTACATGTATATGTACACTATATATGGACTTTTAGAGATGCATATGGTAAATGAGTTGTATAATTAAGAATACGTTATGGGTTTCTTGTAATATAATAATATAATAACTCAAGAGGCCGACTTTCTTGAAACCTTGGCATAAATAACCAATATATTTGTATTTTCTTATGAACTGCTCTTGTTGAGTTGATGCGAAGTTGGTATAAGCTGCCGTTTTTGTTGTTGCTATCGTCGTTTTTGTTGTTATTGTTGTCGTTGTTGGTCGATGGCTGATGTTTCGGCGATTTCACCTTCCTCAGAGCCGTGATGCTGCAAGTGGGACTCCGTCGACCAACAACAGCAACTACAACAGCTTTTACCGACCTCGCATCAGCTTAACAAGATCAATTAATAAGAATGATATAATAGTAATATACTCTAACGTTACAGAAGTCCGTATGAACGACGGCGTAGTCGGAGTAGAGAGCGTCGCGTCCGAGACCGTGATGATACGAGAAGAGGAAAAAACAGTAGGAGTCCACATGATAGACGACGACGTGACGACAAAGATAAACTTCCACAGCAAGGTTGTTCCCCATCCATCTTGTCTTCATTTTTGTGTGCTACATCTTCTTAGTGAGAGGGGCAGCTAGACCATCTATCGGTGGAGTCCGTGTCAAGTACTCCATACCTTTGGAATAAGAGAATTGATAGCATACCCATCCAGGTGTAGTCAGGTCGTTATTTTTAACGCCACTAAATTCGAAAATCATGGAGCTACATATAAGTCAGTGCGATTTCTCCTTCAAACGCGTCGTGGCATTGCTCTTTAAGGGAGTACAGGAGGCTTAGATTGTTTGATGTCCTCATTTAATTTTACAAGATATTCTCATTTTCATGATGACAGATTTCTTTCTAAAATCTGGTGTTATTTTTTTATATTTGATGTTAATAAAGTAATCGTTTTGCAGAACCTATATCTCTAGAACAGATAACAAACTGTGAACAAGACGTTGCTTTAATGATGGGTTTTTCTGGATTTAATACGACGAAAAATAAAAAAGTAAGTTGATCTTGACTGCTTTTCTCCAATTGGCCCCACCTCCAAATGATGTTTGTTCCGAAAAATTCATTGCTTTCGTACATTTTCCTGCTTTTAGCCTCTCTAACTTATTGATGTTAATGGTTTGGCAGTTCCATATTTGCCAAATAATCCGCTTGCTAAGAAGGAGACGCTTTCTGGCGCAGAGGCGCTTTCTAACGCTGAAGAGTTTAAAATATCTTTCCTTTCCGTACAACAAACACGTACAACAGAAAAGTAGCTGACGTTTCGGCAGTATCGCCTTTTTCACAGCCTGGAAAGGTGCATTAAAATACAATTTACTACGCCAAACGCTTCAATAACGCATACAGAATGGTCAAAATCCTTATGGCAGTCACAAGATCAACAGCTTCTTTAAAAAGATTTTCATCTTTAATATAGTCATCAGCCATATGCGAGTAATCTGCTGTTCTTTTCTTACTCATTGGAAGACGCGTAAAAAAACGATGGGGTTTCTCAAGAAGCTGTTGATCAGGTGATCTCCAAACAGATTTTTGTCTTTCCGTATGTGTCATTGAAGCGTTAGACGTAGAAAATTGCAATCAATATGCTCTTCGATGCTCTGAAGAAGGCGATACTGTCGAAATGTTAGCTACTATCTTGTTGTATGTGTATTTCATATGGAAGTAAAGGCGTGCTGTGTGACAACTTCACGTTTTCTGAAAAAGGAAACGACGCATTTATAACCTAGTGCAGAGGCTAATAGAAAGTCGATCCTAGGAACCATTTTTTCCTTGATTTTGCCGTTTGAAGATCCAGTAGAGTATTGTTATATTTTTCGGCAACATTACGGGAAGTTATTCCTACAGAGTTTATTCAATCTTTGAGATCACAGTATACATTGCTTGTATTATTTACTATCAACTGTGTCTGTTAACAGCCTGGCTGTCTTCTCTTTTAAGGTGCACGGCAACTATGATGGTGCTGTGAAAATCAATAAACCTCGTCGCTATCGCCAGTACATGAACAGAAAGGGTGGATTCAATCGTCCACTTGACTACATTGCCTGATCTCCAGCTTCGGCGTTTAAAATCTGGAAAAGTTTCAATCTCTTGGAGCCCTCTTAATTATTTGTTGTACAACGTCGCTTTGTTTCGTTTTGTCAATAAATAACATTTTGGAACGAGTTGAGCTTTGTGGGAAGTGGTTAGAGTCCACAATACATTGTCTTTGTTTCCCTCATGTTTATATGTAATATTATTTCTTCTGCAATTTTCGTTAAGTCAAAGAAGGGAAGTTGATTTCTCATTCATTTGTTTTGAAGCGGAATTCAGATTATCATGACGAATTGTCTCGGAAGTGTGATATCAGTGGATTGCGGTGAATTTGGCTACTATCAAGGAAAACTTATATCGGTGGATGCTGAAGCCAAGGATATTGTTCTAGCTTCTGCATTTAGGTTTGTTCTATGTGTCAGAAGTGCTATTTTGGTGAGCAAGTTAGATTTACTTTGCTTACTTTACTAGTGTGGTCATTAAATTCTTATTTAAAATCCTTCACACTACTTGTAGGGAAGGTGTTCCACTCGGAAAGAATGTGACGTTGAATGGTGCTCAAATCGTCAGCTTGAAGGTGTTGAAGGCCGCGCATCAGGTGGAACCGCAATTCGCATCTACTTCGAGTAGTCGAGTGGACAAGAAGGAACGTGCACAAAAAGCAAAAGCAGTCGACCAAAACGGGACTGTTTTACCCAGGAGTAAGAGTAGTGTTGAATGTGAGTAGAATCCTAGGTATTGCTATCCTATGTAGAAGTGCTGTGATATTATACTAAATGGATAGTTGTTTCCTCATAATATCCTAGTAAGCATCCGTTCTTTGCAACAGACTGGTTTAAAATCTCTGGGGCGCGTGTAGCGCAGTGGTCGAAAGCGCCTGCAATACACATGGAATGGACCTGTGCTCCAGGCCCACCAACTCCCTCTATCCCTCTGGGGTCGGCAAATTGGTACCAAACTTGTCCGGGAGGATAGCAGCACTGGCTCGATACACCGGTGCGCCAACTCGAGTCATTGTAAAAGCCGGGTATGAATTCGGTCACCTCCAACGATGCTTAATGAAGTCGATTGCATGGCACATCCCTCAAGGACTGATCAACGCCGAGAACTTTTTTTTAGAGCTCTAAGATCTCACAGAGAATTTATAATGTGACAAGAAAGAAAACATCGAAACTCGTCATTTTTTCTGCTTAATTTCATTGGGGTTCTTTTACCTTATAGTGTATGAGATCACTCCATATGTCGTCTAAGCTATTTTTGTTTCAGTTAAATGCAAAGAAAGTTCACGGCAATCGAAACAGTCGAATTCATCCGAAATACGGTTAGCGGGATTTAGATATTTGCCCGAGCATTTGTTTGTTGTTATTTTCATACTAATTCTAGTCCACTTGCTGTTGTACAGAAGAAAGCAACTATTGTTGAATCGCAAAGGAAAGCCAGTTCGCTGAGCTCAACTAGCGAAGAAAGGCAAGGGTGAACTGATTATTATATCAAAGCAGCTTTTTGTTTCTTATTTTGAAAATCTGCTTCTGTACTAATGTGCTCATATGAAAGCTTTTTTAGCGTTGAAGCCAGCAACTCTGCAAGGCAGATTACAAGAAATCATAAGGTTAGGAGATCGGAATCGGAATATGTGAGTAGTAGGCATCCTTTGGTATTTACAACATTAAACTTTTGAAATTATCAAAAATGCTGTTTTAGGTTCATAGTGGCCCTGTACCGGTGTCAGAAACACCTCGTTTTCGGCGCTTTGAACCACAAGCTCCTTTTCCTAAGGACGTTGTCACTGGAAAGGTGAAAAACAGAAGCAGGGCGAAGGGTATGTTACATAGTTAGCTCGATTGTAGTCATTTTCAAACTACACTGGCGATCAGACTGGGTGCTCATTTTTATTCATATAGATAGCGCTTTTCGAGTTGTACTGATGTATAACTCATGTAAACGTTGAATACATACATATGTTCTACTTGATGTGAGCTTTATTATCACTATTTTTTGTCGAAGCTAGTAATTCCACCAGTTTGAGAGCTCTTTCTAGACCTGTCAACGTCTCAGCTCCTCGAATGCCTTAGATGTCTGAAATTACATGTACTTCTCTTAGAATGAAGCATCCTTTACAATAGCCAACGAACTTTGGCACTAGTAAACGCTAACGTTCTGAATTTATGTTATAATCGCCATTCAGGGCCTAGCGGAAATCCATTACTTGATTCGAAGAAATTACGGGGAAAAGTGGCCAGTGTTAACAACGAATTGATCAAACCAATTGATTTTGATTTGCTTAATACTGACTTCGATTTCGACGCTAATTTAGAGAAGTTTAAAAAAGAGGTGAGTTGATTTGACGGTTTTGATATGTTGGTTCTCGGTTATGGCACTATTGGCATGACACGTCAAATTCCGGTTGTTCAGGATTTCCTTTTTGAATGCACGCACTGCTGGAAATGTTTTCCTTCCCTTTATAGGACTTCGATGACGAATATTATGAGACAGTGGAAAAGCAGAAAATATCTCAGAATTTTGCTCATTATGAGAACATTATTGATGATCCCGATAGGTGTATTTCATGGACAAACATGTGTGGAAATAATGGTATTATTGGACGAGTTGACGTCTCTAGTAAATCAGCCACTGAGAGGTTTGTGTTATTAGTAATAATTAGTTTATAAAACCGTTTCAATTGTTGTTTCTTTGTAGACGCTCCCCTCAGCTCCGGTCAATTTCGTTTTGTCCTAGTAGTTATGAGACAACTTACGATGGATTTCCTGTACCAGTACTTGATGCTGCTTTGAAAAAGAAGTATCTTCAGGTAGCTCGTCGTATTTAATAGTGTGTATATTCTCATCTAAAGTGTTATATTTCCCATTTCTCTTCCGTGCTCTACTTACAGTACCGCTATTTTCTTCCTTTACATGTCTTTCAAAATACCTCAGTTTTAAATGTTCTGAAGTACAAAGTATTTTTGTTAGTGCTGTATCTCTTTTAAGGAGTGTTGTACTTTGTTTGGCCCAGATGTTTTCTATTATTTGGTTGCAGATAGATTTATTATGTGGTTAATAGACGTGTCAGGAAGGTAGGCGCTTGTGTAAAAGATTGTTCTGAAGTACGTCTTATCCGTATTTGCACGATTTCAGATTTGGTATTTCTCTGGAAAACGTTGTTGTTTTGGCTTCTCGTAGTACTTCTTCTCGTCTCATTGATCGTATTTTATTCCATTTGGACAATAGAAGGTACCGTTTTCTTTCCTTCCTAATTTAGTATATGTTAGTCTTTTACTTCTGAACCAGATTTGGGGTCTCACTGAACATTTTTGTGAAAGATTTTTCATCACTTTTCAGCGTACCATGTTTTTAAAATCTTTTTTTTCTTCCACTCTTTTTTGTTGGTTACAGAGCCAGAACAGTACTCCATGGAAAATGTACAACTTCCGATTTAGGATTGGTGTCAATAGTCGATCGGGTTTCCGCGTTACCCACTACTCCTAAGGTAGTTAATGACATGTTTTCTTTAGCATTCGTTAATCTTATTTCGTTTTACTCCGTTTTCTTCTCTCCAGGTGATAGTTATGCTCGGTGACGATGTAAGTGCTGAGACACAGCAATGGCTTAGAAGGCAAGCCACTACTGCGCATATAGTGTCACTAGAATGCTGCCCTAGTGGGGTAGATTATCGTAAAGTAAGCTTTATGATCGTTAGTAATATCTAATACCAATCGCTAATTCTTATAAGAGCACTCCTCAGTTTATTAGTAAGCATGCTTTCAACGACTAACATCGCTCTTAAGTGTTTAGGAGTTTACATCTATTTTATCTTTTTATTACCAGTTTTCTACTGTCTCAGTAACTTTTTCTAGATTTTTACTGCTTCGGCTATATTTGTTTGATATGTTTCCCTCAGTGGCTCCATCTTTTTCTGATTCAACTTTTTTTCAGGTCCATGTTTTAATGTTGGGTGTACTAACCTCTGGTATGTATTGTGCCCTTGCGAAGTCACAGCCACAACTGGGGAAGACTAGCTTTGCAGAATTATGTGCTACTGTTGAAGCGAATAAGTTTATAGGTAGCAAGTGTTTTATTTTTAGTGCTTAGATGCTTCGATATAACTCTTAGGTGTTTTTTGGACTCGTTCATGAAGCCGTATCTTTTTAAGACTCTGCAGTATGTGACGTTGGTGCGCCATTCTCTTGGATTGCAGAGGATGGAAAGGCTAGCCTTCTACAGGCTTTTTCGACAACGCTAATGCGCAGACTTTGCTAGAGTGGTTGTACGATTTTTTTCTTTGGTAACGTTGTGGATTGTATTTGAAGTCCGTGAATTTTTCGTTTTTTCCTTTTCCCGTTCTTCATCTCATCATAATAGTTGCATTGAAATTTCATATTTAACGAGCAAACGTAGGTTTTTTACCTTAGGGTGGCGACCGTAGTTTTCAAATCGTTTATGTACAATTTATCTGTGGAAAGTGTTGCACTATTTGTATCTTTCTTCTTAATACTTCTCTGAGTGGCTACTTTAACTATTTGTGGCCATCTAGTCTTAATTGGTTTAGGTGAATGTCTTTTATGCTTGTTCTTTTTTTGAAAACTTCTCATGCGATCTTTCTATTTAAATACGTATCGACTTGCCTGTTCAATTCGGGTTGGCGGGGCGGTGTTAAGGCTGTAGAGATTGGGCTTACAGAAAACTAGAGATAAGTTAACCACTTCGCGACGAGACTGCTTTTCCGAAAACTGGCGATGATTTCTCGGTTACTAGAGTATTTTAAGGGTTGAGAACTTAATAGACTTATAGAAGACTCCAGATTTAAGTATGCTTAAAGTTACAATTTCCAAAAGTTGCATAAGACGCTTATGTTGTTGGAAATTCTCAACACAATGGCGACAAATACCAGTATGAGCGAGTGCTATTGTGGTAGACGAAATTCGGCTTATTTGTTTCCTTTTATTTGTGAAATATGAGCCATGAAGCAATGACGTTTAGGAAGTATATATTGTGAGTTCCGGAAAATTGGGATTTCATAATGGTGGGACAAGATGAATTTTATGGTGTACGCAAAGATGTAGGCATTATATAACTACTGTAGACCTTGCATCGACGTGTAACTGTTAAGAAATCGGTGTCTACACGTTTAGTGCTTGTAATTATCCTTTAATTCTCATCTGTGTCTTGTTTCTCATTGCAGTGAGCTAGGAATCTACGGTGCCTGTTCAATTGGACTGTTTCTCCTCTCTCTAGCTTCATTTGTCATTCTATTAAGTTTAACGAGAAGTCCCTCCGATGTTCACTGAAGTACTGCAACAAGCAGACTAATAGTTTACAATTGTTGGTGCTTTACTCCTGTAGTATATACTTCTCTGGCTTATTCAATCGGGTACCGTTATGGATGTGTGCCAGTGGTACTGCGTCGTAATCTTACGTAGGAATGCTACCTTTTCTTCATGGATCACGTTCAATGTTCACTCTCAGTTCCATTTCGTTTTCAATTGTGGTCAGTTGAACTCAAGAGCATTTTCTCGTAGAGCTGGAAGGATTCTTGTATATATGTTTCTGTGTATATGAGGTTGTATCTTCGAAAACAGTCGCTTGTCGGATCCGAAGTTTCTTGTGAACAACAGGGACGTGTTTAAGATATTTTTCCTTTAATATTGTCAAGTCATTAACCATCATTGCTTTCCGTGGTCATTATAGTCATCTGCTAGCCTTGTTTGTAACACTTTTTTAACCTGTTTGTTTCTCCAAAACTCCATTTTTTTATTGTTTGTGTTGTTTATGGCCGGGTGGTTATATTCTGTATAATTTGTTTGCGTTATCAAATACCTAGAAAGCCTCCCAACGTTAGTTCTTGTCCTACTTCTAGACCCTAACTATTACTGGAATCTGTTATGTCAATGAAGCAGTCGTTGTTCTATGGCTTTTCTTTCTTTCTGTGTAAAAGGTATGGTCCGATGAACAACTGTGGATACTGTTGGTCGCTGTTCAGTACGCATTAGTGCACCCGTTGAGTCTTCATAGTTATCAGAAGAAATTTGCCCTTTTCTTCACAGAAATGCGAGAATGATGCAATCTGCGATTTCTCCGTCACAATCACAAATTATATCGCTGTTTATTGACGATAGAAGAAATGCTACAGATCGTCTTAATCGGTTAGGTTTTTTTTCTTCAAGATTAGTTTTACATTTATTTTGGAGCAGCTCAGTAAAATAGGTAGAAAAGAGAAGTCAGCGTAATTTTCAGTTTTTAGTGAGATTCACTCCATGTTAGATAGTTCTCAGGAGTGAGATTCCCTTTTATCTTAAAGAGTTTTGTTTTGTGACGTATTAGTTAAAGGAAGGTAACGTTGCTAACAAAGTGACTCATTGCTAGAGTGGTATTTCCAAAGTAGGTTCGTTTGCCGTAATTAACTGTTATACCGTTCGGCAGTGTGTGAGTTCCACTTTTGAGCAAAACTGTCTTTATGTTGATCGTTTTTCCAGTTCGTATTCGTTGCTTGGTGCATTAGCGCTATCTGGTAGTTATATGACGGACTGGTTAGAAATCGCGGCCAGTATCCTTCTGTGGATGGCAATTTCAAATACAGTTTTGTACCTGGGAGCTGCTCTGGTTGCTTTACTCATGATGCGTCGACATCCATACGTTATACTGTTTGTAATTCCTCTTCTAGGTAAGTTTCTCCGAGTAGTATGGTGTAAAGTGATGAATTTACCGTCGATATCATTTTTATCACTTTGTTATTAAGCATACTATTCGTGTATTTTTTTCCGCTAAATTGTAACGTTTCCAATATACATTTGCTCTCTTAAGATCCCGGTGATTGGGACTGGGGTGGAGTTGAACAAGTTTCTGTTCTACCCAGGTGTAGCTCCCTGCTTTTATAATTGTGAAGAAGAGAACTTTACTTTGGAATGAACGTTGGCAATCGAATTTGGGCGGTCACTCATATTGTTTTCCATATTCACGCTGCTGTACGTTTCCAACTGTTTGTGTTGATTTCAATCCGCACAATTTTTTGCATTATTTTGTTGCACAGAGCTTTCTCCAGACTTTCTGTAGTGATTCGATACTTTATCGAACACAGATTTTATATTGATGCCGATCCATGGATATGTATTCTCAATGTACTATGCTTGCAAAAAGCCGTTTCTGCGGTGGAATGGAATCGGTGGGTATAAGAGATATGAAAGACAGAAGTACACATGAACTTATTTACTTACTTGGATGGTTCATCCTCATTGGTGGTGCGAGCCCCAGCATAATTTCCGTTCGTTTCTGTTTCGCGCAATCGTCGTCCATAGTCATGGTTTGCTTCAACTATGGTGACATCCTCAAGGTCTTCAGAAGACGTAATTCAAGAGTTATATAAGTGATGTGCGAATTTCTTGACGTGGTTGTAATAGTTGTAGTTGAGTTGTGGAACCAGCCCACGTCTCTGTTGCATAACAGAGGGTTGGGAAAACTGTTGAATCGAAAAGGTGAGAGCGGAGCTTTGGGTCCGTTAGTTAGTCCGTTGCTTATTTGAGAGGCCCGAATGCAGCCCTAGCTACTCTTGTTTTGTATAATTCTTCCTTAATGGTGTTTTTCATGTTAATTGAACGCCCAAGTTATACGTACGAGGTATTCTCTGTAATAAGAGAACCATCCAGTTTGATCTGACCGCTTGGTACTTCTTGGGAAGATGACGGTGTCATCGGCGAACGGAAGATTGTATACTAATTCTCCATCAATACGTATGCCTTTTTTATCACAATCAAGTTACTTCATTATCCATTGCATTGCGGCACTAAACAACTTTGGCGTTGTGTTATCTTGTGGGACAATTTTCTTATGGTTATGATATGAGGTCGATGGCAAAGCTGTATTTTAATACTTCAGTTCGATAAAAGTCAAGTAGAATTAGTACGTAGGATGGGTCCAATCCTTGGTCGACGAGTGCTGATAGGATTGCATTGGTTTCGACACTGTCAAACACTTCTTCATAATCGAGTAAAGTTAGGGCCAGGGGCAAATGGGATTCCTGACAAACTTCAATAATCCTGGATACTGTTTAGATGTGGTCTGTGCGGCAAAACCTTTGTCCAAATCATGCCTGCTTATATCTTTTTGTCTCACCCAATGTCCTTGATATGCCCGACAAGATAATCTCCATGAAGAGCTTGTACAGTACACTCAACAAGTATTTCGGATGGTGGTTACGAAGATGCCTTCGGTCATCTTTCTTGGGGCAGGATGACCATACGCTACGTTCTCCACTGGTCTACGATTTTTTCCTTTTTAAGGAAGGATGTCATATAGGTTGCAAGAACTATATGTGAATTGTCGTTTCCAGGTCTAATGAAGTCGCTGGTGAAATTATCGGTTTCTGGAGCTGTGTTGTTGCAACTCGTGAGCTTCTGGAGCTTGTTGCAACTCGAATCGGAAGAATTTCAAGTGGCTTTTTCCAGCGGGAATTATAGGTTCTTCTACGGCGATTTTGGAACAGAAAATGTTGGTGTAGAATTCTTCTGTTATCAATTTCAGATCATGGCAGGAAATTTTGGTAATCTAATTTCCGTTAATCACAGCTGACAGCGGCACATTATACCCACACAAGTCCCGACAGCACTTTTTCAGACTGCTTAATTTGTGCTGCTTCTAACATTTTTCTCTGCTCGTACCTATATATTCTTTCCTTCAAAACCCTTTTGCAACATACCTTTATTACTAGCAATGCTAAGCCTACATTAGGATCAAGCTGCAGTCTCCTCTTTTCGAGCAACGTCTTAGTGATAATGGAGATGCGATTTATCTTTTTGCTTGAGGAAGTGAAGTGAATTTAGCACAACTTCTAAGTCTTTCGACAAATAGCTCGTAGTCTTCGGTCGGGTCTTTTTTAATATGCCACTAACGTTTGGATGGAATTTCGTTCAGAATGTTTCTCCATATACAGCTGCCCTTTTTCTTCTTGGTTGATTACATGAATTTTTCTTCAGCGCAAGGCTGACTCGAATCTTCGCGTTAAGAAGACGGTAATCCGATCCAGTATAAAATGATGAGACTACCGATGTGTCAAGTGTCCACCATCTTCTGTTGTCAGAATATGGTCCTTCTTCGCATCAGTCGAGCTGTTAGGGAACCATCACATCCATGGACGATTTTCTCGGGTCTTGAAAAATTGATTCCTACTGGAGAAACGTGTTGCAGACAGAAATCCTGCAAGACGACTTACGTTCTGATCTCTTTCTTCTATTCCAAATTTTCTGCTCTTCTATTCGCTGTCATTGGTCTTTCGTATTCTAGCATTAAAGTCTCCGACAACAAATTTATAATATGGTTTATTATTGCGGATAACTTCTTCCAGCTGATAATAAAACGCATCCAATTTATTTTTATCAGCTGCATCGGTCGGTGAGTAACAATTGTGGATAGTGGTTTTCCTAGGACGCAATTGTTGAAAACGGAGGACGACCATGCAAAGGGAGAGGATCTCGTGCTGGTCGACGAGATGGACGACATTTCGCAAGGGTTGACCGTTGTTTAGTGGGTGGTGTATAGAGCTTTGCTGGTTTAGCCAATGGGGTTTAGCTGGGCTTCCATGAGGAAACGTCGGTGTTTTAGCAGGGTTTCCAGGTGAGGCGTCGGTGAAAGCGGAAAATAAACTTCAGTTATCATACAAAACTATGCGTAGACCTATTAACACGATGTTTAAATAATGGACAAGTTTTTTCATCACACACATGAGATGTGCAAGAATATGGGAGCATAGACAGAAGAACATAGCAAATTTGGTTAGAGAGATAGAGGTTAAAGAAATGGAAAAAATATGAGGGAACCGAAGTATATGTATATATAACAAGTATATATCCGTCATATATATGCAGTGACAATTTCGAACGCCTTTCTTTTAACCTGTAACGCTGGCTCATGTTCATATCTTATCCTGTTTTAAGGTTCCGGATTAAGTTAGTGTTTTTAAAATATGCTAACTATAATGGTTGAAAGATACATCCTCTTGCAGCAATGTGCGTCATTGGTCCAGTGACAGTTGGGCTGACAACGTCACTAGTGTTGGCGTACGCTCTTTCTGCATCTGATAAGGAGATCAGTCCTTGGCACTGTATGGTGCTAGGCATCTTTCAAAGTATTATGTTAGTCTTTGTGTCTTTTAGTAGATTATTAGGCACCTTGTAATTTTGATTTCGAAATCCGGATAATGTAGTGTTGCTTCATTTAATGAACTACCGTTGGCGTAAAATTCAGAGGTTACTGGATTGATTCTGTAAATCTCATCCATGGTTCTATAGAGGAATTCTTAGGATAAAACTATTGTTGGATTTTCACTTCTGAGTTAATAGAAGAACATGTTGGGGTTTTGCTGAAGGTCATTGGATGTTGCCAGAATGTTGATTCACTGTGTGTTGAATGTTCAACCGTGGAAGTTGAATTTGAAGTTTTAGAGATGTCTCAGTTGGTTACATATCGTAGTGAAGTATTCTTGAAAAAACATACTTTTTTCTAGTCATTTTGATCATATTTTTATTGATACACTGGCTTTCAATGTTGATGCGGTCTCCTTACATCTAAGATTTTTCTGCTATGTAGTTTTTCTTACTTCGGCGATGACTTTACTTTGTAATGAACGAGTATGGGTAATCTTGTTTGCACATGCGATATCGAATCCAGAATAAATTTAATAAGCATGATCTTAACCTTTTTATTTACTGCCAATTATGATTTTTAACGGCAGGATATCATGTGAAATACAACTAAGATGATACTGAGATGTTTGCAAAACTCCGGATCGCAGGTATCTGCGGTGGGGAACGAACGCGCTATTGTCCTTTCCGGGGAGTAACCACCACACTATGCAGATCCTTCGTTTCGCCTATCTCTCAGCTAGTTCTTTTTGGCTCGCTAGATCAGTTCCGTTGACGGGCGATTGCTGATCAATAGAACTAGCCGAGAGACAGGCGAAACGAAGGACCCGCATGGTGTGGTGGTGAGCGGGTTACTCCCTGGAAAAGACATTAGCGTGTTCGTTTCCCACCACAGACACCAGCGGTCCGGAGTTTTGCAAACATCTCAGTATCATCTTAGTTGTATTTCACATGATATCCTGCCGTTAAAAATCATAATTGGCAGTAAATAAAAAGGTGAAGATTGTGTTTCGACTTCAGCCTCAGCTTAACTAGGCTCGTTGCCGATTTGGGCTCCCCAGATCAATCCCGTTGACGGGTGATTGCTGATGACAAAGTATCAATAGAACTAGCTGAGAGACAGGCAAAACGAAGGACCCGGATGGTGTTGTGGTGAACGCGCTACTCCCCGGAAAGGACAGTAGCGCGTTCGTTCCCCCACCGCAAACACCTGCGGTCCGGAGTTTTGCAAATATCTCAGCATCATCTTAATAAGCATGATCATAGGGCGCGTGTGGTGCAGTGATTGGAGGCGCCACCGCGACGCACGTGGAATCGATCCCGGCGCCCATGGCCCACCAAGCCTTCCATCCCTTCGGGGTCGGTAATTTGGTACCACACTTATCTGGCAGGATGGCAGCACTGGCTTGATCCATCGGTAGGCCACTGCTAGTCATTGTAAAGGTCAGATATGCATTCAATCACCTCCAAACGATACCTAATGAATTCGAATGCTTGGGACATCATTCAGCGATTGATCAACGCTGAGAGCTTTATACTTTAGGACTTTAAGCATGATCATAGACATAACAAGTATATGTCCATCCTATTTGTTCTTGATTGGGAATTTAGTGATGCTTCGAATGGCTTGTTTTCACGGAGAATCAGGCGGTGCCAGAACGATTCATATTCTCCTGTCACTTTCCTAGTTTGGCAAAGTTGCTACCAGAATCGTGAAAAATCCATTCTTGCAGAAGCTATGGTGAAGATGCTCTAATGGTGAATCGATTTTCGACTAGACAGTTCATAGCGGACGGAATTCTGAATCGGTCGGAATGCTGTACTTGAGTTTGAAACGCAATGTTGGATCATTCTGGAGGATTGGGACCTTTGATATGCTCTTAAGCAATGAATTCGCAACAGGATAGCAGATTGCCAAGTAACCACGTAGAATTGTAATGGTCGAGTGACTTGCTTGCCGACAATGATTTGCAGTTGGATTGTCTATATTATGAAACCAATTGAGTGTGATGTTATACGTAAGCTTGACAAGAGGATATTTGTGGACTAAAACTACAAAGTTTGGTTGTTGGGCCAGACTAGATGTGGCTACTCTTTGGAACTGAAACATGGTGTTAAGGAGATATCGTTGAGGTTCACTTCAATCGTCCATGCCATGTACTAACACGATGATTTGTTTTCTGCTTACCGTAGTTTATTTTTCCGCTCCGATTTTATACTGCTGTTTATTTCCACAGTTTATGCCTTAGTTTGGTAATTTAACTTCTACATATTCGACAAGTCAATAAGAAATATGATTGGTAGAGTAAGGATGAAGAATGTAGCACACATCAGTACACCATACGTGGGAGAATGAACTATACTGAAGTAATCTACGCTTGATGCATTGAGAGTTCAACTCTGACTAAAGAGATGAAGGAGATCCTTTATAAGATCGCTTCCATACGAAGAAGTGGAAAACAGAAGAAATCTTCCCATCCATCTCAGCTCCGGATTACGAGCGTGAAGAGGACGAATACGTAAAGCAGAGATCAACGATACTTCCTATTTCGGACAGTTTCGTATTCTTCGACACAATTTCATGCCAAGTACACTGTGTTCCAATCGAGATTTAAGTTAAGTCATTAGTCGTCGTCTTAGCTCGGTAGTCACTACATTTTCTCCGTCGCTGCCTGAAACTTCAAATTAAGTATCGGTAATTAGGAAAAATGAAATTATGAGGGTGATATATAGCGCATCGAAGGAGTTTTCGTGAGCAAACGGTGGATCTCAATGCATGGTCCTGTACTCTACATTACGCTGTGGCTAGCCTGCGGAAAGGAAGTGTATGCATGAATAAGGAGAACGCACCAAGTTGGTCGTTGTGGCAAAGAAGACTATGGCAAGACATCCAGATCACCGCGCCCACGCACCGTGACCTCTCGGTAACGCCAGGAGGTCATTCCGAAAATTGCTCAACCTCAAATCAAGTGGAAGAAATCGAGAAACGTAGACCCCACTGAAACCACTCAGCCCACTGACTAGAATGAAAAACCGTAGGCTACTTATGACCTTTAATTCGATTCCACTCAACACCAGCGAGCACCCGATGTTTGCCAAAGAGTGATTTGGTTGACTCCAAAACTTTTAGGTTATGAAGAAAATACTTCTGAGCACTATTTTAGAAACAACACTGTGGGAAGAACAACATATGGCTGCTTTCAAATATGCAATGCAATAAATCACAGCGATGACCACACGCTGTGTTGATACTCAGCACTTCCGGGTCATAATTTATTCTGATGAGGTCAACTATATATCTGTGATTGGGTAACATGTACAAGACCTCACTGGTGGTTCTTTTCCTATATCTAGGTCGATTTGCCTAAGTGTCGTATTTCAGGGTGCGAAAATGAACTAGTCCGAAAAGGTGTTTTTTTTCAAAGTATTAAGCAGACAAAGAGGTTTCCTGGTCTCATCTGTTCTACTTCGATCTATTTGGATTCGCTATGGAATGAATATGCATAGTGCGGTGATAAGATTTCGGAATCTATGCACTGAGGAGTTGAAAAGCGATGAAGAATAGTGGACTAATAGAAGACTCCAAGAAATTTCTAGCAGCTATTCCAGAAATATGTCACCATCGCGGTAAATTTTTGGCATGCCGGTTTTCTCTAAGTTCGGGAAATGTGATAAAGTCGGTTGCTATGGCAAACACTGACGCCCGCACTACCTCGCAGCCCTATCCCACACCATATGGGTGCTGGACTGAATTAAAAATTGTCGTTATTTCTGTTTTTATTTTTGATATCTTCGTCAATATGTTTTCTTCAACGGTGGATTGAGTTTACGGGATTAATGGTCTTAATACAAATTATAGAACAATGTTTTGATAACTCGGCATAAGATGTCCGATTTTGACGTGTATAACTTTTAGGATTTAAAGCGACCATTTGTCATTACGTTTCTGAAACCGACGGAACTCAGTAGTGCTCAGCCTAGACTATTACAGTAAAAGCAAAGAACATAAAGTTCTTGGCGTTAATGAATCCCTTCGAGTGCGCCATGCATTCGACTTCACCGGGCACTGCAGAGGTGGTTCAATGTATAAGCCTCCGTGTTTAATATCTTGCTGTGGGATAACGTCTATAAATACAGTATCGTCATCGTTCCAGACAAGTCTGGTACCAATCTTGTGGGAGGCTTGGTTGCCCTGTTAGGGGATCGAACCTGCCCCCATGTGTCTACTGTACGTGCTTGACTATAAACTGCTGTGCTTCACGTGCCAATTTAGTCGGATTAGGATGTAGAAATCAAAATTAATTTACGTGAATGCAGCACAATCTGAATAAATGGCAAAGTGGCCATCGTTACGAATTCTAACTTGGACTTGTTCAACTTGTGTTACTTCTTCTCGCTAGAAAGCTCATGGAATCTCAATACTGCCACTTAACTCTTTTTCATTCGATTTTGTTGAGAAAGAACAAAAATGTGGAAAATTTCACGGGTCAAGTTCAGCATCAGGTGACTTTGTAGGATGGCTGAGGAAATTCTTGGCAAGGCTGGCGTACGCATCGACGAGATTAATCGTATCCGTCTTATTGATCCAGGTGATTTGATTTTATGTTTACTTAAGACTCCGCTACCACTTTATGAAATTGCAATACTACTAACTTTCTGATGATGAAGCTGGTTTTTTGATAGCTGCCGACAATTTTTTGACAACAAGAGCATTTAAGAAACAAAAGAATTCGCAAGTTAGCGCAAGTAATTTTTCTCAGTTTTACCGGCTTAAAAGTATGGAAAGCTTTTGCAAAATATTTTTCCAGTTTTAATCTGCCAGCAATCAAAAAATTAGAAGTGAAATCCAAATTTTTTGAAACTCCCGCGCAAGCGCAGGAGCGCGAAGACCGACGACACGTTGCAGAACTCTATGATCTTCTGTTGAACGAGGTCCAGTTTTTTTTCTTTTATAGATAGGCTAACACGACTTTAATATAAAATTCGACTAGCTTTTTGACGCATTCGTCTTCAATGTTTAAAGTTTTGTTTTCTGCCTTCTATAATTTTCATGGCAGGTTACTAAGCGAAATACAACCGCATTCGTCTTCTTCGAAACAAACGTTAACTGAGTAATGCTTTATCAACAGCATGCTTGCTTGCCAATGAAAAAGTAAACTATACTGCTTACCTATATCGAAGTCAAGGGAATGTCCGTCTTCGAAAGGAAGAGCGTTTGTTCAGTTGCTTTCGTATTCCAGATATGAATATCAAAGGAAGAGAAGAAGATGAAATACTTTTGCAAGATGTGAAACACAGCTACAAGGAAGCTGAGAAATTTGCAAGACTGAGATCTCAGGGAAGATTCGGACCCGCGACAAGCCTTTCCGGAGTCTAATGTGTTACCCATTGTGCCACTGAAGCCCTTCGTTTCCCTTTCTTTCTGAGAGTTTCTTGCCCTCAAAAGTGGTAATCTCGGTTTCGAATCCAGTCTAGGGTCTGAGTTCGGCAAATGGCAACGATATGTTAGCCGCCATTATTGAAAGACAGTATGCTATGGGTCTTGGAACCTGCTCTAGGAAAGAATGATTTTGACGTTGTCGTTGGGGAACTTATTGTTGAGCAAATGACAGGCCGAAGACGTTACATTCAGGCACGGTGGATGGGGTGCGATGCTACGACCCAACTCCTCCAGTTGCCTGTAAGCTATTGTTGCGATGTGAGACAGAACGATGCTAAAGTCTATTCGGTTGCCTTTCCTTCAAGGCAGCGATTAGCCCGTAGAGCTGTTTCACGTGACCGGTGAAGTTGACCTCTTATCTCATTGCCAATAATTCGCTGCTTTATTGACAAGCACACAAGATGTTGTTATTATACTCGCTCTACCATAAACTATGACGCTTTGGCGGACTTCTTTCTCTTCAGAACCGCTTTCTAGTAATCATCCGCTGAGTATTCCACTGTGAAGGCCAACAGCGCAGAGTTCACATAGAAGCGTCATGCATTCCCAATAGTTCATCCTTTTATAGTTTCATTCCCAATGGTTCTTAGATCATGCCGCCCATGCTCTAGAGGGACAGTATCAGTTCAGGACCCTAACAATAGATTTCTTAGAAAATCGACGGCTTTTGGCTACAATTCGAGCATTGTTTGGCGTACGCTGTGAATGCCGTTGAATGCTGGACGAGAGGTTTCTCCCTGGAATCCAGATAGCCGTGATATGGCGTTTCTGGACGTGAAGCCTGCCTTTACGGATCAAGTAGTGGTTTCTGTAGACAAATATAGCCACAATATTCCGATCCTAATTGTATGAGACCTTTGATTGGCTCTCCGTGGGTTCGAACCGACGGACACACGTGCATTGTACGGCGTCTTTCTTGACCACTTCGCTTACCAAACCCATTCATCTCATTTACTTAATAACCTTTTTCTATTTGGAAGCCAAGTTTTTTGTTACAGAAATATCCGACGCACTGAATGACCTACGCAATGAGTCGCGCGATTTTATTGCTCAGATGACATCATTTCGTACGACAACGGAGGGATTGATTAAGGCATTCGAGGAGGTTAATTACGTCCAAGTGTTTTGGCATTTATCATCAGATTAGTCTTTTACGAATTATATTTAAACACAATTTGCATAACAATAATGATGCTGAGATATTTTTAAAACTCCGAAGCAAAGGTGTATGCGGTGAGCATCGAACATGCTTTTATCCTTTGCGGTGGCTAACGCGTTCACCACCAATATCATGCGTATTTCTCGTTACTCTCAGTAGGTGCTATCAGCAATCTCCCATCAATGGGATTGATCTGGGGAACAAAAATCGTCAGTGAACCCAGTTAAAATGGAGCTGTAGTATTAATCAGGTCGTAGTCACTTTTATATACCGCTTATTCTTATATCATGGCAGGGTGTGATGTGAAATATAATCACAATGATATACCTCAACATCGTTATGATTGTAATTTTGAAAACAACCGTCATTTAACCTTTTGTTGAGCTTACACGAGGTTGACAACATAGTTTTATTTGTGTGAGGTTTCTACGTCTTCGCCGTCATCAGAGCCAACAATCCGAGTCGATCGTTAGTCCACAGCTGTTCGTCTTGTCGATGTAGCATCTTCGTTGTCGTATCGAGACGTATCTTCTTCATTGGAATACCGCACGAACAGGACATACTTTTATACAGGGCGGTTGTTGTCGATATGACTATCCGTTAGTAGTAATTTCTTTTTCAACGAATAATCCACCCTTCTTCCCAACAGTTTACCACCTCATCCTGCTGGGAGGTGTTCTTGGGTACTGGGCTGCAATGTACATCGGAGGGATTCATCCTCTGGCAGGGTCTTCCAAGCTGGGGAAGAGTTCGGCGTTTCTCTCAGGAAGCCCAGCTAAGAGTAAACCGATGCCAGGATCTACCACCGTCCTGGTATCGAACTAGTAGCATCTCGGCGAATCTCCCAATGATCCACAAGGGCGGCGACTGTCTGTGGCGGTGACGATCTGGGGCAAACTTTGGCCAGGCTGACCCAGCAAAACTCCGAAAGATAGAGAATATACTGGGGCGCGCAAAACCAGTTAGGACGGGCCGTCCAAGTAAGTAATCCACCCTGTGGTCAGTATTATGTTAGCTGGCACACAGCGAATAGCAAAACAATTTGGAACCGACCGTTATTTAACCTCGATAGTAAAATAATAAACATATATTTAAATTTTGCTGCAGGGCACTAGCACTAGAGTACTGCCGGGTGAACATGCCTCATTCGTGCAGTGTTCCAATAAAGAAGATCCGTCTCAATACGACTACGAAGACACCATATCGAGAGAACGAACTATTGTGGACTCGGATCGTCGGCTCTGATGAGGACAAAGACGTGGAAACGTTAGCCGAATAGAATTATGTTATCAACGTCGTTTGAGCTCAGCAGTTTAAACATATGTTGATTATGGTTATATTTCACATCTTACCCTGCCATGGAGAAAGAATAGGCAGTAAATAAAAAATGAATTGAGACTTTATATACTCTTTAGAAAAGATCGCAATGTTTTTTGGTAACAGTTAGGTCTTTTATGGAATTAAAAATACCATCAATAATGGAGTTGTTTAAGCAGTAATCAGGAAAACACGTTCGCCTCCGCATAAATAGTATTTCAAACCCAAACGAGATCCAAATTTTTATGTCTGATAGATTTATCATTGCTGTTAAGACGTACCTAAGAAAAATTGGTGTTGATGGTTCTGTGGAAATTAGCCAAATATCTGACAAAGACTTGTCGTTAACAAGACCTGCTCAGGTAGAAATAACGATCACATTAACAGGTTGGGTAACTCTTCTGCTGAATGTTAAACGTTTCAGGTGGCTGCCGTTGTAGAAGCAGAAAAGTTACGCGCAATGGCTGCGAGGAGCGCATTTCAGTCGGTTGACAAGGTGAAGTCTACTGATGCACAACAATTACAGGTATATTGGTGGAATATATATCCCCTGGGGAAGTGGTGCATGGGCATATATGAGAGTGAAGCTTCGGGAATCACCGTGGTGTCATTAAACTTACGTTGCGAGGATCTGTTTTTTTGCGCTCATGAAGGAAGTTCCAATGCATCTTTCTTTCTTGGTGGAAAGTATTAGAAGTATTGGAAGTTGCACTCAACGTTTTCTGAAGAGATTGTAGGTGTTACAGAGAAGGAACGTGGAGGTACCGAAGAAAAAGTTCAGTGAGCGTCTTCTAAAACACATATCTGCTGTTTATCGTTGTAGATTATGATTCGGGAACGACAAATGGAGCTGGAGAGACTTCGAGTAGAATTGACTTCGCTGCAAGTGGTCGAGCAAGATCAGAAAGACATCATACAGCAAATTATTCATGGGTGATTAAATAGTGTTAATAACGTTCAAGAAGTCTTAACATACTTACCCTTGAGACGTTGTTTGTACTCGCAAACCACAGCAAATCTAACTTTACACTTTTCCCACCTTTCTGTTTCTGCTTTCTGGTGAAGTACGTAAATAAACTGATGATTTGTAACACTAAAGATATTTATTGATCCTCCAATTTCTTAACGTTCAAGATTCTTCGTTCCTCTGTTCGACCGTTTTCCTGCCTTTGTTAATTTTTATGCGCTCACCGCTAACAGGTTACACAAAAAACCAACCGTTTTTAGTAATTTTTTGTATGGAAAAATTTGACAATGAAGCTAATCTCAGTGGTCTATCACACACATTTATCAGCGATGTAGCTATTTTGAATCTGTGGTTTTTGTGATCAATGAACGTTGTTCCAGCAAGTATTTTCATTCAGTCTTAGACTATATCTTCAATTTAACTTCAGAATTATTGAGATAAAAAACGCTCGTAAAACAACTATATTGATTTAAAACTGACTTTCTTTTAACCTCAGTATTATCAATCAACATGTATCCTTTCTTTGATATGCTTACACGAGGTTGATAAACAGTTTCATTCGACTAACGTATCGACGTCTTCGTCTTCATCAGAGCCAACGATCCAAGTCGATAGTCCACCGTTCTTCTTCGTCCCGATCTTCGCCTTCGTATCGACTTCTGTTGTATTAGTAGAGCTGTATCGCATAACTAT